AAAATATATAGATTAGGAAAAATTGAGGTTTTGCGCAAAAGCTTTAAAGTTATCTAAGATATTTCAACAAATTACAATCGGAAATAAATGATTTTTAAAAATACTACAAAATCGTTGTTATTAGATGATCTATTTACGCATACACATTTTGCAAACTAAAAGTTATGATAAACCTAGTTGATGGCGAACATGAACTGATTTTATTTTTTTAACTTGACATACCAATTTTTCGTGATAAGCATGAATCATGAAATAATTTGATCTATACACGGATATTTATGAGTACCTTAATATCAGAAGATCTTTTAAAATACCTTTTTTTTCAATATTTACTTGTTTACTTAAAAAAAAAAGCAAGTATGAAGAAAGATAGAAGGATTAGTAAATTACATTTAACACTACCTTAATTGCTTTTCCTTGACAGATATGAGCATTTCGTCTACAATGTGCAGACTTTTTCAGTGTTTTGCACTAATACTCTACTAAACGCCAACATTCATCAGGATCTACTACATAAATGTTTATTTTTAGGAAGAATACCGTCTTGACCTATCTCCTTCAACAACTGACAAATCAGCCTGACCTAACGCGAGAATGATTCACGCTCACAAAACTCCCCCAACACAGCACCTATGTGTATTCACATGTGTAACGTTTGAGACAGGAACAAACAACCGAATTAAACCATGCCGTAATTAATTATTTATGTTTAAATTAATTCGCCTACCGAGTTGAGCCGGTGGAGATTGAAATTTATCTGGCTTGTATGATCTAATTTTCCCACCTCTCCGTAGCGATTCGTTTGTTTTGGCATCGAAAGATCAATCGGATTTGGATTACGGTTGGCAAATTTCGATGAATTTAATTCCAATTTTGAATTTTATCACTTGTAGCGCTCAAGCGGCCTACGATGATTTGGGGGAGTCGTTCCCAACTATGGAGGTGGGAGGCGTGAATATCACATACGGACAATTTCCAGTGGCATACGGAGGAATCGATTTCCAATCTTTGGCACTGGATCAATTCCGTTTACCATGAATGGAACTGTGCTCTGTTTGCTTGGTGCAGTGGAAGCAGATTATCATTAAAGTGCTAAATCCGTTTTGCTTGCTTGCTATGAAGGTGCGCGGTTGTGCTGCGGGTTTGGAATCTGGTTCTGCGGTTGAACGATTGGAATCAATTCCCGGATTGTTTGCATGGAAATTAAGATTGTGGATTCAGGTGTGGCTCAGTTGCATAGCATTATTGTTTTCCCTTTGTGGTGGCACCATTCGGCCAATTTCACACGGGTCGTGTTCACCGCCAGTCTAGACCGGTTGTGGTACAATTTACAAATCGATAGAATTCATCACCAATTCATGTGATTGCAGAACATTTACTTCACGTTTTGCTGTGATGTAGCTACCTGGTGCTCTGCAGTTTCCATTGTAAATTGATCCCCGACCGAGGGAACTGTGTTGAGCTCGAAGCGATCAGAACGATTGGTAATTTTAGCGCTTTCTGTACATGGCCCATTATCGAATATACAGTGCATACATTGTGTGTGTGTGGATGGGAGGGGAAATCAATACTGCGATGCCCATTTTAACTGCAATCATGCAGTTTGTCCATTTCTACATGAAGGGCTCTGTGTCAGAGCTTGGTCATTTGGACTTGTACTGTTCGATTACTGGGATTGAATTTGAAAATAACTATTTATAATTTGGATCGATTTAAATGCTTTCTGGAATTCATTCAGTTTGTCGACATTATACCAAATTTGATTATTATGAATCAATTCATGGCGAACATAACGAAAGGACTTATGCACGAAATGTTAACAAGCCCTTTTAGAGTCGATATGCACGCGCATTAAGACTCATCCATGCATGATCTGGTAGAGATTGTTTCTACTATCTCTTTTTGTGTTTCCTTAGGCTGGTTCGCCTCTAGTTTGTTCTATCAAATGGTGAAGTTAGTTTTCTTGGGTTTGTTGTTTATCTTTTCATTTTACACATAAGACTCTTTGCTATTGAATTGCTATTTTGTTATATTTCCGTTAGGGTACACCGGGGCAAGTTAAAACGGATGCCGTAACTGTATACGGAATCACTGTGATTATTTTTAACAGTACACTTTAAACTTAAATGCATCCTATGACTGTCAAATCAGGTAGTTACAAATAGCGTAGCGTGCTCCTCAGCATTATTTATTTTAATTTTATATGAAATTCACAACATACATTGTATAAGCATTGCTTCACTCTTTTCAAAAAGTTGAATTTTCTGTATTTTACTAATTTCTATACACAAGGGAAGCATTTGGAGGCTAGTTGGAGTGATGATATAGAAAAAAAAACCGGTTACAAATGAAGTTACAAAAATATCCTTAACATTTCAAGCATTTCAACTTGCCCCACATTTTTATACCTTGTGGGGCAAATCAAAATGAATACAATGGGCCAAGTTGAAACGGCGGATATCCCATTCTCAGTACAAGAAATCACTTCGATATGTTGAAAGATAGCGAAGAAACAGCGATGGGTGCCTTTAAATAAGTTCAGTTTTTACCATAAAAATGGAAAGTCGAGCTATCTTGAGAAAAGAAAATCAATTTTTCATCATCAAACTAAATCAGCCGGTTAATTTAGCTGTTTGAAAGCACATTAGGCTTGTTGTTGCCAGACAGACAGACAGACAGACAGACAGACAGACAGACAGACAGACAGACAGACAGACAGACAGACAGACAGACAGACAGACAGACAGACAGACAGACAGACAGACAGACAGACAGACAGACAGACAGACAGACAGACAGACAGACAGACAGACAGACAGACAGACAGACAGACAGACAGACAGACAGACAGACAGACAGACAGACAGACAGACAGACAGACAGACAGACAGACAGACAGACAGACAGACAGACAGACAGACAGACAGACAGACAGACAGACAGACAGACAGACAGACAGACAGACAGACAGACAGACAGACAGACAGACAGACAGACAGACAGACAGACAGACAGACAGACAGACAGACAGACAGACAGACAGACAGACAGACAGACAGACAGACAGACAGACAGACAGACAGACAGACAGACAGACAGACAGACAGACAGACAGACAGACAGACAGACAGACAGACAGACAGACAGACAGACAGACAGACAGACAGACAGACAGACAGACAGACAGACAGACAGACAGACAGACAGACAGACAGACAGACAGACAGACAGACAGACAGACAGACAGACAGACAGACAGACAGACAGACAGACAGACAGACAGACAGACAGACAGACAGACAGACAGACAGACAGACAGACAGACAGACAGACAGACAGACAGACAGACAGACAGACAGACAGACAGACAGACAGACAGACAGACAGACAGACAGACAGACAGACAGACAGACAGACAGACAGACAGACAGACAGACAGACAGACAGACAGACAGACAGACAGACAGACAGACAGACAGACAGACAGACAGACAGACAGACAGACAGACAGACAGACAGACAGACAGACAGACAGACAGACAGACAGACAGACAGACAGACAGACAGACAGACAGACAGACAGACAGACAGACAGACAGACAGACAGACAGACAGACAGACAGACAGACAGACAGACAGACAGACAGACAGACAGACAGACAGACAGACAGACAGACAGACAGACAGACAGACAGACAGACAGACAGACAGACAGACAGACAGACAGACAGACAGACAGACAGACAGACAGACAGACAGACAGACAGACAGACAGACAGACAGACAGACAGACAGACAGACAGACAGACAGACAGACAGACAGACAGACAGACAGACAGACAGACAGACAGACAGACAGACAGACAGACAGACAGACAGACAGACAGACAGACAGACAGACAGACAGACAGACAGACAGACAGACAGACAGACAGACAGACAGACAGACAGACAGACAGACAGACAGACAGACAGACAGACAGACAGACAGACAGACAGACAGACAGACAGACAGACAGACAGACAGACAGACAGACAGACAGACAGACAGACAGACAGACAGACAGACAGACAGACAGACAGACAGACAGACAGACAGACAGACAGACAGACAGACAGACAGACAGACAGACAGACAGACAGACAGACAGACAGACAGACAGACAGACAGACAGACAGACAGACAGACAGACAGACAGACAGACAGACAGACAGACAGACAGACAGACAGACAGACAGACAGACAGACAGACAGACAGACAGACAGACAGACAGACAGACAGACAGACAGACAGACAGACAGACAGACAGACAGACAGACAGACAGACAGACAGACAGACAGACAGACAGACAGACAGACAGACAGACAGACAGACAGACAGACAGACAGACAGACAGACAGACAGACAGACAGACAGACAGACAGACAGACAGACAGACAGACAGACAGACAGACAGACAGACAGACAGACAGACAGACAGACAGACAGACAGACAGACAGACAGACAGACAGACAGACAGACAGACAGACAGACAGACAGACAGACAGACAGACAGACAGACAGACAGACAGACAGACAGACAGACAGACAGACAGACAGACAGACAGACAGACAGACAGACAGACAGACAGACAGAACCGAGAAGGCGTCCAAACAGAAGCGGAGAGGAGATCGATATTGCGCCGTGATAACGATCAACGTCAAGAATGCGTTCAACAGCGCCAGCTGGGAGGCCATCGCCGAAGCACTGCAAAGACTGAGAGTCCCTGATTACCTGTGCAGGATCCTGAGGAGTTATTTCCAGAACCGGGTTCTGGTCTACGAAATAGACATCGGACAGAGATCGATTAGAATCACAGTGGGAGCTCCACAAGACTCCATCCTTGGTCCAACGCTCTGGAACGGGATATACAACGGCGTGCTAACGCTGAAGCTGTCCAAAGGAGTTGAGATCGTTGGCTTTGCGGACGACGTCGTCTTGACGGTAGCAGGCAAGATGCTGGAAGAGGTGGAAGTGTTATCAACCGAAGCGATCGACATGATTGGTAACTGGATGCAAGGAGCGAAGCTGCAGATAGCCCACCACAAAACGGAAGTGTTATTGGTCAGTAACTGTAAAGCGGTACAGCGGGAAGAAATCACCGCCGGGGTGCACGCCATAGCCTCGAAGCGTGTGTTAAAATACCTGGTAGTGATGATCGATGACCGGCTACACTTCAACAGCCACGTCGAATATGCCTGTGAGAAGGCTTCGAAGGTCATCAACGCGATAGCTAGAATCATGCCAAACAACGCTGGTCAAAGCAATAGCAAGAGGCGTCTTCTGGTCAGTGTGTCGTCATCGATACTGAGGTATGGAGGTCCAGCCTGGGTTGCAGCACGGGGAACGAAGCAGTACCAAAGGAAACTGAGCAGTACGTTCCGGCTCATGGCCATGCGAGTCATGAGTGCGTACAGAACCATCTCGTCGGAAGCAGTATGCGTTATCACCGGAATGATCCCTATCGGCATCACCCTGGCGGAAGACAGCGAGTGCTACAGGCGGAGAGAAGCCGGAACATACGGAAAGTTGTAAGAGTGGAGTCATTGGCTAAGTGGCAACAGGAGTGAAACACGACGGAGAATGGTAGATGGACACATAGACTAATACCGATTCTTTCGATCTGGGTGAACAGAAAACACGGAGAAGTCAACTTCCACCTAACGCAGTTCCTGTCTGGCCACGGCTGCTGCAGGAAATACCTGCATCGGTTCGGACACGCAGCATCACCCTTCTGTCCGGAGTGTGACAACGTCGATGGAACGCCGGAGCATGTGGTCTTCGAATGTCCAAGGTTCGAGGCGGTGCGAAGGGAGATGCCCGTCCTTAACGTGGAGAATGTCGTCGTTGAAATGTGTCGAGAGGAGGGCACTTGGAATGCCATCAACAGGGCAGTCACGCAGATTATGTCGGAGCTGCAGCGTAAATGGAGAGAACAGCAGCGATCTAGCAACGGCAGCTAGCGCTGAAAGTATGACAAGTGCATGAGCACAGCCACCCCCCGCTTCACAGTGGTCCCGGGGGGATACAGGCAGAGGAGAGAGTAAGGAATGGGTTTCAGTGGAGCTGCACTAGGCAGCTAGTGGATACCACACCGTGCCAATTTCACTACAGGCCAGGCTTCTTGAAGTTTTCCTAAACCTCACTATGAAAAAATAAAAAACACACACACGCACACACACACACACAACACACACACAAACACACACACACACACACACACACACACACACACACACACACACACACACACACACACACACACACACACACACACACACACACACACACACACACACACACACACACACACACACTTTCACACACACACACACACACACACACACACACACACACACACACACACACACACACACACACACACACACACACACACACACACACACACACACACACACAGCCACACACAGACACACACACACACACACACACACACACACACACACACACACACACACACAGACACACACACACACACACACACACACAGACACACACAGACACACACACACACACACACACACACACACACACACACACACACACACACACACACACACACACACACACACACACACACACACACACACACACACACACACACACACACACACACACACACACACACACACACACACACACACACACACACACACACACACACACACACACACACACACACACACACACACACACACACACACACACACTAGAAAAAGAAAAAACCAAAAAAAATATGAAGAACGACGGCAATACGCCAGACAGTGAAAACGGAGGAGCAAACGTGTTCGCAAGGAGTGGGATATTGCAGAGATCACCAGTGTCGAACCTGGGGGTCACTGCGAGTTCCAGCAGCAGCAGTAAGTTTCAAGAAGAGCAGCCAGGCGTTGGGCTAAGCCAGATATTCACACCAATATCCAGTAGTAGCAAATCCCAAGAACTGCAGCTCGGGAGATCCAAAATGACGGAGGTCAGGAGGAAGATCGATGATCTCTATGTGTTCGTGAAGGATAAAAACAACGTACACAAAGAGATCAAGCAACTTGTGACCGGTATCAAATCCGGCATAACAGTGGCAGATCGGGAATGTCAAGAGTGGAGAAAAAGGGCCGAAAATGCCGAAAAGGCTCTGCTGGAGGCCAAGGAGAACATAAGACTGGCTCAAGCACATGAGACTCCGAAGGGACCCACAAATCCACGTCCTGAAAAGAGAGATAGGGACACGCCAGGAGATGAGGAGGAGCCCAAAAAACGCAGGGACGACGAGGAAGGCATCAAGGAGATGGGAGAAAATGGTGCGTGGCGTAAAGTCGAGAACCAGAAGGAGAGGAAGAAAAAACAGAAGGAAGATGGAGTGAGGAAGAAGGAAGAGGAAGCGAGGAGGAAGGAAGAAGCAGCGAGGAAGAAGGAATAGAAGAAGAAGGAAGACAGGAAGAATAAGGAGAAGCCTAGGCCTCGTAGGGAGAGAAGCAAGGGTGACGCTCTGGTTGTTGAGGCGAAGGACAAAACGTCCTACGCAGCACTCCTCCGGAAAGTGAGAGAGGATCCGGAGTTGAAACAACTAGGCGAGAATGTGGTGAAAACCAGGCGAACCCAGAAAGGCGAGATGCTATTCGAGCTGAAAAGGGACCCTACGGTTAAGAGCTCAGCTTTTAAGGAGCTCGTCGAAAAATCTCTTGGCGAGACGGCGAACGTAAGAGCCTTATCCCAGGAGTCAGTGGTCGAGTGCAGGGATCTGGACGAGATCACAACAGAAGACGAGTTGAAAAGTGCGCTGAAGGTGCAATGCAACCTGGGAGACGTACCGATGGCAATTCGGTTGAGAAAGGCGTATGGTGGCACGCAGACGGCGTCGATACGACTTTCTTCGGACGCAGCTAACGAGCTGCTGAAGACTGGCCGAATCAAGGTTGGGTGGTCAGTGTGCCCGTTGAAAGCTATTCCTCGGGTATCTAAGAAAATGGAGAGATGCTACAAATGCATGGGCTTCGGTCACCAGGCGAGACACTGCAAAGGCCCTGACAGATCTGATCTGTGCAGGAAATGCGGAGAGAAGGGGCACGTTGCAAAAGACTGTACAAAGCAACCGAGGTGCATGCTCTGCAAAAAGGAGGACGGAAATGGCCATGTGACGGGAAGTTTCAGGTGCCCTGAGTTCAAGAAGGCGATGGTGGGCCAGCAATAATGAAGGTAACCCAAATAAATCTCAATCATTGTAACACAGCACAGCAACTGTTGTGGCAGTCAACAACGGAAACAAAGTGCGACGTTGCAATCATTGCAGAGCCATATCGAGTCCCTCTGGATAATGGTAACTGGGTGGCGGATAGAGCAGGAATGGCGGCCATACAAGTCATGGGCAGGTATCCCATACAACAAGTGGTGGCAAGCTCATATGAAGGTTTCGTGATCGCCAAAATCAATGTTATCTTTGTATGTAGTTGCTACGCACCCCCGAGATGGACAATTGAGCAGTTCCACCAGATGCTAGATGGGCTCACCGAAGAGCTCATTGGACGGAGACCAGTCGTCATCGCAGGAGACTTCAATGCTTGGGCAGTGGATTGGGGGAGCAGATGTACCAACGCAAGAGGGTATAGCCTGCTGGAAGCTCTGGCAAAGTTGAACGTCAGTCTGGCCAACGAAGGAACCATCAGCACCTTCCGCAAAGATGGTAGGGAATCCATTATCGACGTTACTTTCTGCAGTACGTCGCTAATGGCAAATATGAACTGGACAGTGTGCGAGGAGTACACCCATAGTGACCATCAGGCGATCCGGTACAGTATCGGCGAACGAACACCGGTGGAAATGCGGAGGACGAAAGTAAGCGAGCGGAAGTGGAAGACGAAGGCATTCAATAAGGATCTCTTCATCGAAGCTCTAAGGGTAGACAACAGCGTCCCGGGCCTAAGCGCGAATGAGTTGACCGAATTATTAGCAAGGGCATGTGACACAACTATGCCGAGAAAACTGGAGCCAACGAACAGGCGGCGTCCAGCCTACTGGTGGAACGAGGAAATTAGCACCCTCCGTGCTACTTGTCTTCTAGCCAGAAGGCGTGCTCAGAGAGCAAGAACAGAAGCAGACAGAGAGGAGCGCAGGGTGGTGTTCCGAGAGGCCAGGGCTGCACTGAAACGAAAGATAAAGCTGAGCAAGTCAAATAGTTTCAAGGAGTTGTGCCGCGATGCCGATGCCAACCCCTGGGGCAACGCATACCGAGTTGCGATGGCGAAGATCAGAGGCCCAACGATGCCGGTTGAAATGTGTCACAACAAGCTGAAAGTCATCGTGGAGGGACATTTCCCACAGCATGACCCAACGAACTGGCCACCTACACCATATGGCGAGGTAGATGAAGACAACGTTGAACAAGTCTCCAACGAGGAACTCATAGCAGCAGCGAAAGGGTTGAAAGCGAATAAAGCTCCCGGCTCGGATGGAATTTCCAACGTGGCGTTGAAGGCGGCGATCCAGACGTTCCCGGACATGTTCAGGATGGTGCTGCAGAAATGTCTGGACGATGGTCAGTTCCCTGATAGGTGGAAGGTACAAAAGCTTGTGCTGTTGCCGAAGCCCGGAAAACCGCCGGGGGATCCTGCATCGTATAGGCCAATATGCTTGCTGGATACTGTAGGAAAGCTCTTAGAGAGGATCATCCTCAACAGGCTGACGAAATGCACGGAGAGTGAACACGGATTGTCGGAGAGACAGTTTGGATTCCGGAAAGGGAGATCGACGGTGGATGCAATTCGGACAGTGATTGACAGAGCCGAGAAAGCTTCCAAACAGAAGCGGAGAGGAAATCGATACTGCGCCGTGATTACGATCGATGTCAAGAATGCATTCAATAGCGCCAGCTGGGAGGCCATCGCCAAGGCGCTCCATAGAATGAGGGTTCCAGGCTACCTCTGCAGGATTCTAAGTAGTTATTTCCAGAACCGGGTCCTTGTCTACGTGACAGACACGGGGCAGAAATCGCTTAGAATCACGGCGGGGGTTCCCCAAGGCTCCATTCTAGGTCCCACGCTGTGGAACGGAATGTACAATGGCGTGCTGACGCTCAAGCTGCCCAAAGGAGTTGAGATCGTTGGCTTTGCGGACGATGTCGTCTTGACGGTAACCGGTGAGACGCTGGAAGAAGTGGAAATGTTGGCGGCTGAGGCGATAGATACGGTTGGTAACTGGATGCAAGGAGCGAAGCTGCAGATAGCCCACCACAAAACAGAAGTGATGTTGGTCAGTAACTGCAAAGCAGTGCAGCGGGCAGAAATTACCGTTGGAGAGCACACCATTGCTTCGAAGCGCATGCTTAAGTATCTGGGAGTGATGATCGACGACCGGCTAAACTTTAATAGCCACATCGAATATGCTTGCGAGAAGGCG